CCCCAAAACCCCAAAACCCCAAGAAGTAAAATGAGTTTGATAAAGTATTCATAATAGATTACAGAAAATAAATCAAAAGTTGTATATTTTTACTATTTCCTTGACAAGGTCATTTTCTATTTCACTTGAGTTCTTAATGGCATTAATGATTTACTTTAGATCATTCTTCTCTTTGCTGTCCATAAACATTAAAGTCATATCAAAACTTGATGCTTTGGCTAAACTCTTTATCAATTATGCGGAGTGTTTGATGTCTTCAGAGAGTCCATACTCACTTAGTACTCTTACAATAGCAGCAAATAATTCTGCTGAAATTTCACAGTTCTTGAAGAAATTCTCAATCGTTGTGAAGGGTATATTCTAAAAATTTATGAATAAAAATTAGAGGAATTACTTTGACATATTGATAGAAAGTTTAAGGTTCTTTCTTGAGTGAGTTATAATCAGTTTCAAAACCAGCAGCAGTCTTTGGTACAGCTTTTATTAAATTTTTGTTAGTTTATTAAGTAGCAATGTCAGCAGCCTTATCAATTACTTCTTGGTTAAGATTCTTTGTCTTTTTTGGCAAAGCAGAGCTTGTCTTCTTAACTTCCTCTTCGAGTTATTTAGCGATTTTTTCTTGATTTTTACTTTCTTCTTCAGCCTTTTTTATCTGCTCTTATAAATCATTAATACTAGAGGAGATTTCTTAGATTTTTTAGCCATTACTTACTGACTCCTTAATGGTTTCCTTAATGGTTGGGACTTGCTGCTACTATTACTCCTTTTTAGCTTTATTTTACTCAACTAGTAGTCTCATACACTAGTCAAGTTCAGTTTTAATATCAGCCTTTGTTTAATCTTATTTGAATAAATTTTAAAGGTCCTTTACACTATCCTCATACTTCTCAAAACTCTTATTGGCAATAGCTCTTCTAAAGAGAGCTTTTGGATTAACCTAATCTAAATTTTTGAGTACATAGTCAGCATCTTCAAAGGCTTTTTAATGATTTCCTAATTGATGATGAGATAGTGACCTATTGGTATAGATTTAAGTCACCTTCAATTTAATGTCTTTATCTTTCTTAAGTTAGTCTGGGTTTTTAAGGAAGATATCAACGCCTTCAGAAAACTTAGCTATTGCCTCGTTGAATTTTTTCTATTAGAATAAGGCGTTTCCTGCATCCTTGGTCTTGGCAATCTTTAGTTCATAATCGGAGATATCAACCTTATTAGCATCTTAAAGGGCTCTATTTAATCTAGTTAATGCTTATGATGCTTGCTGATTATTTGGTTGAATTTCTTTTACTCTAATCATGTCCTCCTTGGCATCAGCAATTTTCTCAAGATGCTCATAAGCAAAACCTCTTCTTAGATATGCTTTTGCTAGAATGGTAATGTCATTAATATATGGTGCTCTTTCAATGACCTTAGAGCAGTATTCAACCTCTTTCTTGTTATGCTATCCTTACTTATAGCAAGCAGCTATATTATTGAATATAGTCGCTTCTCTCTCAATTATATCTTTTTTGTAATACTTATACTGAGACAAGTTTTTCTCAGCCAAATCCGCAGCTTTCTCGAAGACCTTTACTGCATCATCATACATTCCTCTTTTATATTCAGCTGAGGCTTCTTCCTTGATTTGATCAATTTCTTTTATTAATTTTTCAAGTCTAATTTTCTCATCAGCCTTAGCTTTCACCTCTGGATCTTCTTTTGGAGCTTCTTTTTTCTGCTCTTCTACTGACTTCTATTCTACCTTTTTGGGCTCTTCTTTTTTTTCTTCAATAATTGGTTTATTTTATTCTACATATGGATTTACTAGTCTAACCTCTTCTTCGTCATCAGCATCATCATCGTCCTCTTATATTGGAATTCTTTTAAACTAAGATGCTTAGACTTCTTCAATTTTAACTTGTGGAATCTCTTCTGGTTATTTTTATGCCGAAACTTCTTTAGTTTGCTCTTTAATCTGTTCTTATTGCTTTTAGTTATTCTCTTTCCACCAAGTATCATTTTCTTGGGAGTTGACTACTTCAATATTAGATTTCTTTGATTAATTTTCTTTGTCTGATTCGGCATTAGCTTGAACTTTAGAGGTACTCTCTACTTTCACCTCTTCCTACTCTTCATCATCACTTTCCTCCTAAATGGCTACTCTAACAAACTTGTCTTCCTTCTTTGGCTGCTCAACTTGTTTTTCCTCAACTACTTCTTCTTTAATCTCTTCTAGAACTGTCTTTTCCTTTGGTGCAGTAGATGATTTCTTGTGATCCTTTGATGCTCTTGCTTCCTTCAAGTTCTTCATAGCCTCTTTATTATTTGGCTCGATCTCAAGAATTCTTTGGAAATCCTTGATGGCCAATTCAGTCTTATTGACTGCCTAGAAGGCTTTACCTCGACGGTGAAGAGCTTTCAGGTAGTCTGGCTATATTTAAAGTGCTTTATTAGCGTCTTCAATAACTTTAGAGTACTCCTTTAACATTAAATGCACTTGTGCTCTGTTAGAATATGTAGCTGCATCATCAGGAAACATATCAATACTCTTTGTATAGCAATCTAATGCCTCTTTATACTCCTTTGACTTCATAAATTCATTTCCCTTTAGTCTTTCATGCTCTGCTTACTTTTTTCTCTCTATTTCTTCAGCAAATTTTCGATTCAAATCTTATTAGCCACTTCTTGAAAATATGGCACCATCATCATTTTGTTAACTTCCAGCACTAAGTTTGCTGTCAAGCTTCTAGATATCATTTAAGAAATCAGCAATGTCTTTTGCAGCTATCTGCTCGTCTTCAACACTAACTCTTGAATTGCCTACTCTGCCTCTTTATTTCGGATCAAGCAATATAATTCTCTTGCTTACAGCTCTCAAGAGATCTGGGAACCCAGCATCGTCCTTAAGGGCATCGTGAGCTTTCAATAGCTCTTTAACATCAGTTGACTTTTCAACCCAGTCGAAATCTATCTTGTCTAGGTTGTACTTGGGTCTGCTGTTTCCACCTTCTTCGTTTTTAAATCTCGGGTCCGCCATTTTAAAAATAAATGATTAATATAGAGGGCATATGGAGTTTGAATTCGTATTTTGAATATTAGAAAGTTCTAGAATCTAGTTCATACTCTACTTACGTACTTTATTTTCCTTTTTTCCAAATATTTTATTGAAAATATCTAACGGGGTTTTGGGGTTTTGGGG